CCTGCTGGCTATTTTGAAGGGGATCCAACTCTGCACCTCCTTCCAGTGAAGAGTCGTCTTTGCCGGAGCCAGGATCACTGCCATTCAGATACGCAGTGGGTGCTGCTTGCTGAACTCTGGCTTCCTCAGCATCTTCATGTGTTCTGTACACCCACTGGTACAATCCCTTTCAAGAGACACAGGCTTCAGCTATGACCTCAGTAAAAATGCCCTATCTCTATATGTTTGGACTACAAAGGTGAATCTAGCTATCAGTTTTCTGTCTTCTAAGCTGACTGAAATATCAACATTTCCCCAGATTTCCTCTGAACTTCAGAGAATATAAAATGTAAATCAATATCTGTGTGAACTTTTAGTTTTAGCAATAGTTAATAATATGTATGCATACATATATGCATAATAATATGTATGCAGTGTATGAATTGGCATACATAGTATTTGTAGATGTTTTGCAACTATAGGCAAATGTAATCAGCTCCCTCGGTTATACTGGGACCTTGGCATGGGAGTAAGTAAGTCAAAAGAGACATGTACAAGTTCTTTTTCTGAATATCTAGTTAGCATAACAGCACAGAAGGGGAGGACAGAAGGTGGTCAGGAATTAATGTACTTCCTTCGAGGTTTTGTATTCATACCAGTGCTTCCTGTTGTCTGTTCCTGTAGGCTGTAAAGTGCTCCAGAACTTCCACATAATTTCCATGTGCCGCATTATTCCCATTAACTTTCAAAATACACTGCCCTGGATGAAGGCCTACAGCTGCAGCCTTAGAACCTGAAAAATCAACAGGAGAGGAGTTAGACAGTAAAGCCATCTGACTATGGAAGAGAAAACCAGAAAGTTTGCAAAGGGTTTCTGGTTAAGAGTAAGAAGAAAAGCTAGTTGAATGCTGTCATGCTTTTGCTACTAAGTACTTATTCTGAGAGCTCTGTTGCGTAAGGAAAACATCACGCATCTATACTTCATATCTTCACTAGTGCTGGGAAAAACAGAGACCTCCTAGACCTCAATGCATTCATGTCAGAAATTGAAATTCCTGTGGGAAATCATGTGGGATTCTTATATGGCTCTTCTAGCCTTGTGATTACATTAGCTGAGGCCTTGCTCAAATGTAAACAGTTATATTTGTTTCAGCTTGTTGCAGTTGAAAGGTACAGAACACTTGTTACGCAATTTGTCATGGTCTAAGAAAAAGACTGATGTACTTAAAACCAGACTAAGTCTAGAGTGCAATAACCGACTCCAATGGATTTATTCCAGATTCATGTGAACAAGATTCAGGCCCAAATCCAGCTCCTAGAAATCTACAGTTAGGGTGATTAACTCTTTTAAGGCACCATCAGTTAAAATTCATACAGTTTTATTCCAAATGCCATTTGTCTTTTGCTAGCAAATTTCTGATAAAGCAGAATCCTTCTAGCTGGCACTTCCAGTTTGTGCTCTTCAACTGTTAAAAAGTGGTTATAGGTGCTGCTATGAAAAAGTGTAATCAGCGTGTCTCCCTGAGAACACTGGTGCGTTCGGGTGCTGCCTGCTGTCTGTATACTAGCTGCACGTATTTGGATATATTATGTATTTGTTCATAAGGAAGGAAGTGGTACGTGTCTGAAATGTATTTTTTGCATCTGTTGAAAATAAAGGTTAGAACTGTGCTTTATTTGCAGCTCAGTTCACATTTCAGTTAGGGAAGTAGTAAATATCTCTGTCAAACTGTGTTTTCTTCTTTTAAAAAGACCAAGGAAAGCAGATCGCCTCTATGTTGTACTGGTAATTTACAGAGCTATAAGCCAATGTAAAGGGAGAAGCAGTCTTCAGGTTTTATTCCATACTTTGTGGTGTCCATTAAGAAACACGATCTGCCTACCAACCTGCTGATCCCACAGCACCATCACACCTGCAGTGATCCCAACTGTGGCTGACCACAGGCAAAAATATGGAGGAAGCAACACACAGCATTACACCTCAACATTTTCAAAGCCACCTCAGCTTTAAATTTCTATTCCTTGTGGCTATAAAGCTGTATCTTAGTAGTGTTGGAAGAAAGAAGGTTAGGATCACTACGCAAGCGCACTTCCAGCTTGCAAGAGCTCAGGTGACAGTGCTTTCTCAAGCGTCTTCCCACACTATTGTGGACTGCAGTACCACCCAGTTTCTTCTAGGGTAGAATTAAGTTATTCCTTGTTTTGTGCTGATGAGATGAGTGATTCAAGACTCAGCTCATAATAATAACACCATTTTCTTAGACTGTATTTAGATTATAAGCACTTTGAGGCAGGAACTATCTCACTGTTCTCTGGTTTTATATATGAGTGCAATCCTCTAGGGCAGGGGTTCCCAGTCATTACGGTTATTAAAATCAGTTGTCAGAAATTGTTTAGAGCAAGTTTGACAATGAAATCTGGATCTTTCTTGATTGATATATAATCACAGACACACACAAATATGTTATATACACTGGTATATATATTTAGCTGTACTCCAAGATTAACTTACCTCTTCCTACTGCATGAACATATGGTGGTGCTGCTCCCCGGATCTGAAAGCAAAGTGCTTCAGGACAATCTGGGATTTTAATAATTCTGCAGGTAAATCAAGAAGAAGAGAAAAGCAGCATTTTAAGCTAGGCTGCCAGAGCTCTGGGCAGTTCTAACAGTATCTTTCTCCAGCATTCACAACCATGTTTTGGATTAAAGAAAGCACCCACATAGTTTACAAATAAATAGACCTGAAGAAATCATCTACTCCATCTTGATTCGCCAAGGCAGATGGGAGATCCTCTTTGTTAACTAAAAATTGGCACTTCCAAATTTATTACATCTCCAAGTGAATAACACAGGACAGAAACTTTCTATAGTATTTACATTCACTTCCATTTCTAGGCAAAGTTCAGTGCAGTGGTGCTGACTTATACCAGCTGAGGATCGTTTCCATTAGAAAAATATAAAATAGACTGGACAAGATACACCCAGGACTAGAAATCAGCATCAAGTGCTTATTGAGACGTTCAGTTCTATGGGAATACAGAATCTAATATTGCACAAGACAATAATAGGGCCAAGCCTCATTATAAGATACAACAATGGACTGAAGAACTCCAAGGGCTGATACTGTTATAGTCATCCAAAAATCAGCCAAGCTTTAATGGGGCTGAAATTGCTCTTCCTTGGGCATATATTAGAGACTGAGAAGCTTCACAGCTGAGATAGAATGACAGTCCTTATGATTCAGTTCTGTTTGCACACAACGAAGTGATAAGTTAACTGCAGGATAAAGAGAATACATCCTAACTTGTTCTAGAAGCACAAGGCTCATCACTAAGAAAAACCTGTGACTCTTGTATCTCTTTGATTTATGTCATTTGGTTTCCTACTGAGCAGCTTCTGTATAGCAAAGTGTCCACACGGTTTTCACTACCAACTGTAGAAGAAATATTTAGTAATTGATGTTTCTAGATCATCTTCTCTGTCTTCCCATCTCGGCACTTACTCTTTTGATTTGGTGGCTACCAGAAGCCTAAGCGGCCTTCGTGAGCTGAAGGACTGATTTAAGATGGTTTCCACTTCTGAAAACGGGCGTAGGAATATTAAGTCCTCATTGATGGAATAGATTTTTCTTCCTGTCTGCAGGCCAGCCATCTGCAAATGAAACAAACACCACAGAAAACTTTGGAGCATTGGCAGCATCTCTGAAAGTTCAGGCTCCAAGGCTCAATTGCTCTCTACTTAGGACGTTCCTAGAATTACTGTCACATGTCATACCGTCTCCTTTCTCTCAAAAAGGAGAATATATTAAAAACAGGGGGACTAAAAATAGGGGACTCTAATGAACTGGCTGTGATACCCAGTGAGACACAGGAGTGTGACTTCCCACAACTTGCAGCTCAAACACAGGGAGCCAAAAGCATAGGTTTCAACCACACTAGCCATGCAAAACCAATCCCTACCTAGTCACATAAGTAAATGTAACCTGGTTTTAAGTGGTGGTAAGAACCCGTCTTTGCTTAAAGTGAAGTACTGGCTGGTCATGTGGAAGGACTGGAAAACCCTGCTGACCATGTCTACAGATGGCTTGGCTTTCCTTAAATATATTTTGTGGTCTGAAAGTCAGAGATCAGTTTACCTACAAAAACCTATACTTTTTTTCCTCAAATCAAAGTTATTAATAGGAAAAACTATGAAGTGGTCTCCTTGATTTAATTCTCAAGCTCTCTACAGTTGACAACATCCTCTTGTGTACCTGGAAATAACATTTTTCATCTTTCTTTTTTTGTAAATAACCTCTAAAATAGATAATAGGGATAAAAAGCAATAGAGATTTTAACTTATGATAAAATTTTACAAACTTATTTATAATTCATTGGAAAACTTTATGCTATTTGCATTTACTTATACTGATGAGTTCATTATAAAGTAATAATTATTATATAAATTTCTGAAGTCATCACGTTTCAGGCCTGATTTTCTCAAAGTAGCTCACACACTTAATGTATGCGCAATTAGCTGAACTCTTTGCCTACCTGCAATCATTCTACCTGTGCATTCCTTCTTTATATTCTTAACGTATTGTTATGCATACGGGACATCTACCTGCACACATTATCATAGCAAATCCCTGAACGTATGGGGTACAGAGTTGCACATTAGACCCTACAAACTAGCAAATTTTAAATAAAAATCTGCTGCTCTGCTGGGATGTAACTAACCAGGCTAAGGAAGATAAGACAGCCTGTCTCTTTAAGAGTGAAGACCTACAGTGTCACAGAGCTTCTGAATAACGAATGCACCTTATGACAACTCAATGCAGTTGTCTGGATCTGGGCCACTGTTTTTTCCCAAACACCAGCAGCTTGTTATCGCGGTTCATCTGCATGGCCAGTGGCCAACCAGCTGCCTGTTGAACACACTGTTCAAACACCAGACATCTGCTTGTCAGTTGGCTGTTCAGATTAAGACAGCAACCAAACCCCAAAAGGGTATTTTTTTTCACTGTTGCTTCCTTCTGATAGAGTATCACTCATAAACCAGCTCCAGGATTAAAACTTGTGGGAATAAACCCAGCTACAATTAACCTGCATGTAAACTGGCTTAGAAAGGAAGATAAGGTACAAACTGAGGAGACACTGACTTTCTGAATGTCCTTCTAAAGACTCATGAACTTGGAACAAGCATGGGATGTGCCACCTGAACCAAGCACCGCTATGTGATCTTTTGTGACCCTCCATCCAGGTGAGCTGAGTGAGTGTTAATATCACAACTGCTGCCGGGAGCATGAGGGGGACAATTCCCACAGGTGAGAGTTGCTCATCACTCAGGATCAGGAGAGAAAGTGCAGAAGCACTGTTCCATCTGAGGGCCAAAACTGAGGAGCTAAACACACGTGTCAGGCGAAGAGCTCCCAAACTGCAGTTCTGGTGCCCATCACAGTGCAGGATCTTGATGTTCCAGCATCTCTTTTCTTAACAAATTTTAAACACAGTTTGGGAACTGCTTCTGGGATAGGTAAATCTAACAGCTCACAAAACAGTTTCTAAAAAATCTTGTGAAGAAAAAAGACACTAATAATAGAAAGAACAATGCTTGGCAACTCTATTTTGAATAAAAACCCCGAAGACCCTTGTTGCATACGTGCTGTGTGCCGCCACAACCTGTGCATGACAATTTTGTTCCAGGTATACTAGGAAAAAGAGATCACAATCCCAAACTCAGACAGAATGTGTTAATCTTTAATAAATCCATGCAAGTAGTAGATTTGTTCCCACTTAATTGGTGAACCTGCAATCTTATTCTGGCCTGAAGTCTGACAGCCCTAATGAATGCAATGCACTGTGATGGGCACTGTCAAGCAAAGCCGCATGTCTTAATTTTCATCCCTAAAGAATGTGACAGCAGACACAGGGTCTCTAAATGGCCTACAGCTGCTGAGCCACACAGAACTACATACTAGACATCCTTCTAGTATCACAAAGCAATTTAAAAAGCCCGACAATGTAATGAAATGCATTACTGTTGGACCTCGGGTCCTGACAGCCCTCTGGTTCAGAGAAATGCAGATTTAGTTCCTTTCTGGAGCAATATTTTAAGATAAAGTTGAAAAGATGGGCTCATGGTCACAGATAGTTTGTCTTGGATGATGGAGAAAAAGATTCCTTAGAAAAATGTGTGCTTCTGTTGTCTTAAAACACAACAGATTTGCAGGATATTCCACAGGCATTCAGCCAAAGAAAGGGCAGAAGGATTATGTCAGGCAATGGTTTACAGCAGAGGCTTAGATTAATAAATTTTTTGGCCAACTTATATTGATTTTGAGCATGAGGTAGAGCATAGGACTGGTTTCTTTGGTGACCATGAAACAAACGAGAATCAGGAATACTGAAATATCCTTCCCATTTGACATTCTCAACTTGCTAAAATCAGTCAGTCCACTTCAGCTGTTTGCACTGGACAAGTCATCCAGGAGTTATACGTAGCCAAAAGCAGTGACCAACAAATGAATGAGGCCAATAAAAAATTCTGTAATGGTTGTCCTGGATTTTTAATTAGAAGTACTGTCTGTGTGCAGCCTCATCTTACTGTGAAACCCTGGACAAGTCATTTAGTCCTCTCTTACCTTCCTAGGCACTAAAAGGCACCTAAATATCTTTTATGAAATAGACTTTCAGTCTGTCTGTGCCTTATTTCGGTAAAGGAAGGATCACATTGAGTTATGCACTCAAGAGTTTTGTATGGATAAACAAGTGATTAGGAAATACTCAGTTCCTATGACATGTGGGCCATCTACATTCCTCAAAGAAACAAAGCAAATATATTCTGTAGAGCTCTTAAAAAATACCATGGAGAGAAATGAGTGCATGTGTTTTAAGGAAAAAATACAAATCTAAAAATATAGCTTTCACTTAAATAAACCTGTTTCTCACTGAACATCTTTGCTACCCCAAAACAATGTTCCTTTCCCTCCCTCCTCAAAGCTAAGTTGCTAATGAACCTGAGGTATGCTATCATCACACAGAGATGCTACTGTTGTCCTATCACTTATCAAAAATTAGGCAAGTCACCCAAATATGCCAAAACACTTAGCAACTTAGAGAAACAGTTTATTAACACAAGCATTGTAGAAGATACTGAATTTTCTATTAGCTGCCTTTAAAATGAAACACTTCAAAAAGATGGTTTTCTACCTTTTCAAAGCATTGAAATATTCTCAGGTACCAAAACATTTATGAACGTCAGGTCCTACCTCTGCAGAAGACCCTTGTCGAACTGACTTCACCACAATTGCTTTGTTCTTTTCTTCTATGTCAAATCCATAGTCATCCTCTTCTGGTAAAATCTTAAAAAAAAAGCACAAGGTAATGCTTCATGAATATGGAGTAAGCTGAAAAGCTGAAGGATGGAGATGAGAAATTGGCCTTTTCATTGCAAGCCACGATTGACATAGGCTTGTAAATCTTAAGGCTGAAAGGGACTACTAGGTCATTTGGTCCGATCTCCTACATAACAGAAGCAATAAAATTTCATCTAGTTATTTCTGCATTGAGCCCTTACTATCCTAAAGCAGAACTTCCAGAGAGTTATCCAGTTATGATCTGCAGTCTTTAAGTAGTGAAGAATGTATTCCTGCCCTTGAGAGTTTTTTCCAACGGTCAATCCACTCTCCTATTAGAAACTGCATTTGGTTTTAACTTCTAGTCCCTCATTCTTCTTTAGCTCTTTCACTTTGAGATTATGGAATCCATCAATATTCAGTATTTTCCACTGGTGAATGTACTTACAGATCAAAGGGTAGTCATTTATATGCTTTTAAAAATACATCCCACATACCCAATAACGAACAATCTATGAGTCTTTCTTAGCTATCAGTTTCAGATAAATCAGGGATCTCAGGCCTATTTCTTATAGATACTAGTACACTCTACAGAAATCTACATCATAATAGTCAGTGTGCTGGCTGAAATTCTGGATGACCAGTGAGAGAACAATTTCTGACAACTACAGGTCCTTCCTCTAGAGAACAGGCACAGAAGCTTTGTGTTAAGAAAGAAATACAAGATTCATGTCTCATGCCATGCGCTCAGTTTGCCCTTTTTATGTTTGACAGAGGACTTGGTAGTTCTTGCTGCCGAGAATCTGTTTCCTCTTGTTTGCACTGAGGTCACACAGACCTGCCTTATAAATATTCTTTAAAAATCATATCAATCATGGCAAATGTATGTTTTGCTCATCCTTTTGTAGTGGTTTATTAATGTTAAAAAAAGCTTAACAACTCACTTCCCATTTTAAAAAAATAAAGCAAGCCTGGCCACTGGTTAATGGACAAGTGGAAACTCTACCAGATCAACATCTTGCATTTGAGCAAACACTACACATTTAAGAACCATCTGATAAATGAGAATTGAGTTAAAAGGAAAAAGAAAACTATCTATAATCTAGCATGCCACTGGGAAAAAAATATACTGAGAATTATTTCCTTGATTCTGATGATTCCTGCACTATTTTAAAATACTCTCTTTTATCTATTGAAGTCAATAGCATCAGTCTACAAGCTTTGTCCTTGTACAGGAGTTCACCTTAGAAAAAAATTAAAAAAATAGAATCATCCGTTCCTGCGGGAGCCATGCAGCCATGTTAAAGTAACGCATGACATAACATATCTGCAGGGGAAAAGTCCTCATCAGATGATGTTCAGATTAAATGATGGACAGGAAAGTGAAAGGACTGAAAGATAAGGCTGCTGTTCTCAGATATTTCTAACAAAATATTTTCCGAAGCAATGCTATTTATGTATGTTTAATAAAAGGACAGCTTAGAGAAGTGGGTATATCACTGGTTAGATTTTTAGTGTTGCAAGTGTAATGAGTTTCAGCCCAACACAATACGTACTTTTAACACTTTACATTTGGGATAAAACAGAGAATTTCTAGGATAGCTCTCCCATCCAATTCTCATTTTACATTTGAAGGGACTTTTCAGTTTCTTTTCTTGGATTTTGAAAGCACATGTGAGTAGATATTTAAGAATTTGGAGGCTTTGATTTGCCAAACTTAAGAAGCCATCAGCTACACAAACTTACATGATCTCTCGGGTGCAGCTCCCATTACTATGCATGAAGATATTCTAAATGCAATCATTTTCAATAACCTGCCTTTCTCTGTTCATTAATACTGCAACAATGTATTGTTTGAAAGCAAAGAACCAAACTACTTGTAAGAAACCCCAAGTGCATCAACATTAGGAACTTTATCACCACGCTGTAAAGAAAGAAGTTTCACATTCTGTATCCTGACACTCCTGGACGGAGGACACTCTCTTATGAAAACACAGACTATGGACAGCATTCAATATGCAATCCTTGGAGAAGGCCATGATTCATTCTTTGTCATAAAGTAGTAATACCCTGCAATCCACAGCTGAACACCGTTCATCCCTAAGGAGTCCAAAGCAATTAACTAACTTGCCATCTACAAGAATTATTTCTGTGCCCCTGAAATCCAGTCAGTTTTTTGAACGTAAGGCAGCAGCTGTTTAATGTTGAAAGACAACCACATTAAAAATGAGACCATATGAGAAATAAGCATGTTTAATCAAAACCAGAGGGCAAATGTAGTCAGAACATATTCAAAGAGAATTTTGGCAGAGATGGGGGCGGGGAGAGTGGGGAGAAGAAAAGCTACGCAAAGAATGGTCTATTACACCTGTATCTGTTACATCCATGGAGCACTTTTAGCATGTGGGTCATGATGCCCTTGTGGCACCTCTTCCCTTCACCCTCTTCCCGCACAAGGAGGATTATGGAGTCAGAAAACATCTGTGGCATGGGGATGCTCAGTGTCTATGAAAGGAGATGCGACAGATTTTCAGGAGAATGAAGATGACAGAGATGTGAGGTAGCTTGATGCTCAGCTATGGGGTAGCTTCCAGCATTGTGTTATGCTGATGTCATGAGAGCATGACTTTAATGTACAGGGCACAGCGCCCAGTCTAGCCACCGCACTTGCGGATCCCTCACACTGCATACACACGGAGGGCCCTGAGGCCGGCACTAGTGAAGGAGGTGAAGGAACTGGATCCATTTCACTCTTGGCAGCCTCCCCAGGCTGCTCCGACTGTTCATGCAGAAGCAGGAACTCTCAGCCTAAACTCCTGGGAACATCACCAGCAGAAGAGGTAGCACAAGCAGATCAACCACCATTTGGTAAACCAGGGTCCAGGATGCACATCCTTCTCTCACAGCCTTCCCTACAGCTCTCCAGCATAAACTCTTCTCTGTTGGACACACTTGAACAGTCTGACTTGGTTAAGAATTGCTTAAGGAGCAGTGACTTATAAGATAATGTCCAGTCTGAACGCTTCACAAAACTGATGAGGTTTCTGTGGCCCTTCATCTGAAGAGGGCTATCATCCTGCCACCTCATCTCCCAGGTTGTTTCAGTCTCCCCAGCCTTTCAAAAGCCCACAGCTCTGGGGCACTAAAACAAAATTTGAAAAGACAAAATTTCTTTCCAATGAGAAGCTCCAGAATCTAAGCCACCCCCCTACTGCTATTATCTTTAAAAGTATGTTTTGCCAGATTAGCAAAATAGGCTGAATGCATGCAAAATGACTCAAAGTTTCTACTGATTTGTGAGCCTTGAAATTGAGCACTGAAATGGACAATGAAACATTTACAGCCTAACGAATGTTTTTCACTTCAGAGTTCACTGTAATTTTTGGTATCCAAACCCACTGAAAGCTCTCATCTGGTCACATACACCTGGATGATGGATGCCTCTTGCTACTGACTTGCCAGCCTGTCTCCTTGGGAGATCAGAAATCCCTGGAGGATAGGCTGCTATTAGTGGTTCTCTTCCCAGGGGTGTTTTAAATCAATGATTTGAATTCACAAGTTACAACAGACCATGGCACACTAATATAATGAAGAACAAAGGGAAATCTCTTTTTTGTTCTCTCTCTCTGCTGAAATTTTGCAGAATTATGTTGTTTTATATTAGCACAAACACAAAAAAATAATTCTCCTGGAATGATTAAAGATGGAAGAGATCTTTATTAAGGACCAAGTATGGCTTTTATTTGCGTAATACAAAAAACCCAAGTAGCCCTCACGTCTGTGCTCAAACCACTGGCTTTCATCAAATACGCTATAGTACTCGGGCCCCTGCCTGAGTCGAATTCCAGGACAGGCCAGAGCCGTGGCTGTGAACTGCAGCAGGACACAGCAACTACTCTCTCCTGCAACTATTGCTACACGCTACTGAAAATAAGAAATATGGGATACTCTGGAGAAATGTAGGAGATATCACAGGTCTGGAAAGTTGATGAGGTTTAGACTTACAGTCCAGATCTCCAATCCAGCACAACAGTTTTGAGCATGCTACATCAAACGTGCACAGGCATCATCTTCAGAAATGAGCGGCAACACTTTTCTCTTGAGGTCAGACAAGTGATACACTAGAGTCTCCTGGGGACTGTGTGTGCACTAGACCTCTCAGGCAGCTTTGATGGAGGCCCATCTCCACAGGCACCTATCCTTGTCTGAGATTCAGCTCCAAGGTACCAGCTTTAATTTGCGCTGCGGTTGTCCTGGGCTCACAAGTAGAGCTGCTGATCACAAGTTAACAGCACACTACAGTACCCAAAGTCACAATGCTTGGAGTCAATCCAAAATCCAAATTCTCTTCAACTATGCAAAGAATGTTGTATATTTTTTCAGTTTGTCAGGATTTATGTCCTTCACTCAGAAACAATTGCACAAATAAATGAGTATTAAATTTTGTTTGAAGTGCATTTTTTCAGACTGAAAGCACTTTTTCCTTGGCATTTCTAATGATGTATTTGCCAAAGTTTCTGTTGTTTTCCATTCTTAAGGGCAAACTCTCCTGTGACAGAGCAAACTTAGATGAAGACGGTGGGGGAAGCTGTCCATTAAACAGCCAGGATTTCAGGGCAGTAGAAAAGCATGTTTCAAATTCAGTGCTGAGTAAATTCCATTAAATTTCCTATGGTGGGATTGGGGGATGGGAAGGATCATTGCCCTATCATCAATGCAAGAGGCAAGTAGTGATGTTCCACAGACAGCAAAGCCTCAGGATTCCAGCTGCTCATAATTGCTAAACACAGAAAAAAATAGAACTCGGGCACATTTTTTTTTTTGTGGATAAGTGTAATGCATTTACTGTACTGCTATTTGTGGGATCTTCTTCAAAACCATTCAGAGGACTGATAATTTATTTGTAAAAATGAGGGCAGCTCATAACTTCAGCATGACTACTACTCATTTGACAAAAATCTGCGCCCTTTAAGTAGGAGAATTCTTACTCAGCATGTGCTGTTCATTTCGGTTTATTTAGTCTTTGAGATGGGACTGTATTTTGACAGAAGCTGACCGATGCACTTCAGAACTACAATAACAGTAATATTAAAATCATTCCTGTTGCAAGTGTTTGAGTTACCAAATTATGGAGTGACTGGAAGGACCAATTAGGGATTATAATTAATCACTAGTAAACAGTCCATGTGTAAGGTTTGCTTGTTTGTTCTGTCTCTTTAGTGAATAATAAATGACTATTACATTAACAGAAAACAGAATCAAAGAACTTTAAATCCTTCATTTCACAGCTAACATATTACTGTTGAATTCTGGCCTTTTAACAGAAGTGCCTTGAACTGACAGTAGAAAGTGGAAGACACACTAGCCAATCTGTTTCCTCAAACTGTCTTGTCTTGATAAGGTGGAAAATTAAAAATACCTGAACAATGGCAGTTCCACCAACTTGCATTAAACTGATCTCCCAGTGCTTTGCAAATCCCAGTTAAAAAAACCAAACACAAAGTGTTATCACCTTTTAACTGCTGGCCTTTATCCAACAACTCTCCATGAGGATAATCATATTAACCTGATAAGCCAGTCTCTGGCACTGGATGCATAGAGGAATAATTTTGAGGGACCATGGTGCTTTAAATATTACTTCTGCCCATTGAGACAAACACAGATTGGTCTCCTGGGAGACAAGACAACAGTGAGACAGTGAAGTCTGTGTGAACCACAGGAAAAATTTTCCCATATAATGAACCTCTGGATCTTTTCCAGCAATACTGCTTTTGTAGTTTCTGACCCAAGTTTTTATCCTGCTCCTGCATTCTGCCAGTGTTCAAAGGCAGAAAAAGATGGGCCTGGAGCCACTGGCAGTACACAAGGATCTCAGAACAAACAGTCTGCACCAATCTGAGTAGCAACTCCAGTAATGCAGGGCATGTACACGTCACTTAGACAATAACGTCCTGAAATATCTGTGTTCTTATCAGTCTTTTAACTTGCATCAGAATCTACCCCACATATAAGGGTGTTTAAACTATGCTTAACTTAAACTGGGTTTAAACTTGATGGTACACCTCTCCCAAGATACTAGTGCCCATTATTTTCTCCTCCACAATACCAACACTGTGGTGCCCTCTCAGTGAAATAAAGAAACATGTGATGCCTGCTAAGACAACATCTCCTGCTCCCAGCTCCCTTCCAGACTCTCTCAAGGGCTTCATGGGAATAGAAAGGGGTTGGGATGTGAACTGGATGAAACATTCACATCACTGAGCCTCCTCTTTTCTTGAGACCTATCAGAAACAGGCAGGAACTTACATGCATCTGCACATGTGTGTGTGCGAGCTGTAAATCCAAAGCTCCCGGGTAGTGCAGTAGGATGGTCGCATACTAGAGAAGGAACCCCACTAGCTTACAGATTTCCCTTGCTACTAGAATAAGCTACGTAGTCTGCCCAGCTAGAAAAGTCAGAGCTACGAAGTTGGAGCTCAACAGCAAAGTAGCTCAATGCAGTGAAAAAAAAAAAGTATAGCTACAGGTGGAATTCCCCATTTTAATTTCGTAATTTTCCTTCTCATTCTTCTCTAGTGTAAAACAATACAGTTTCACAGAAATGTCAAGGCTTACATTAACATATTTCTTACCAGAAGACTCTTGGCCAGGATGTTTTCCACGAGCTTGAAGTCATTACGTAATTGTTTGCTCTTGGAACTGGTGCCTTCCATCTCCTCATCAGCATAAAAGCGGAAATATAAGGATTCATCCTTAAATTCACTTTTCTCCAGGACTGGAAACAATATCATATGAAATACATACATGCATTTACACAGAGAAAGAAAGAGAGAAACAAACAAAAAAAGAAGTTAAAGGAAATCCTAAATATGTCTGCAGTTTTTACAGAGCAAAGACCAGCTGCATTCCTGTCAGTCAGCTATTCAGCTCTATATTTTTAAGCTACTGCTGTATTTTAGAGGTATATTTTTCTTCAGAGTACATAGCAGTTCATATGATATTTGACCTCCCTGGCATGTAGAATGCATAAAAAATGCAGAAGATCCTCTCGGAAGAAAGATGCTACTCAAAACCTTATGCTCCTTTCCCACGTCAAAATAAATGTGTTAAAACTATAAAAGGCACTGTGAGGGATAAAAAGGCTGCTTAAAGGTAAGTGAGATGGCTCAAACAGACTAAGGCTTTTCAACCTCAAAAGGAATTCAGAGGGAAATAGGCTCTATGAAATTCTGGAAGGTGTGACAAAGTTCTTTACCACGTTTGCAGACACAGGACCTGGGGGCTTCAGATAAAAGCAGCAAGTGACAATTTTAAAACCTGAGAAACAACTTCTTCATTCAACATTTACTTATGCAAGGAACTCCTTGCCAAAGGGTGCTATGAATGCCAAAAGTTTACATGGGCTCAAAACAAATCAAATTCTTTAAAGAAAAACAAGCATTCTTACCTTCTTATCAAGTACTATGCAAATTCTCTATTAATTATTTACAATAATCTGCTCTCAAAAACACTATTCAAAATATGGAGAGCAAATGTTATTTGTGACTAAAACTGGATGTTTCACTGGACAAACTACATTTTACTCTTAGGACTTTGTATGTGCTATTTGATACGGATACAGATGTGGTTTGTTTCCTTTCCCAGTGTAGCAGCAGCATCACTGAGTATGGATGATGTCTAACTTGGCAATTTGGCACTTCAGATTTGGAAGCTTCAGAGAATCAGCACTGAGGATTCTGCTTGTTGTCCAAGTGGCAAGAACTAGGCAATTTTACTTTGTACCTGACATTTCTTGGTGATATTTCAGGACAGTACTTGGCTTGAACATTGGTCTGATGGCTCTGAAAGAGATGCAGTGAAAAAATACGCCCCTTCTAGCTTGTCTAATCGCTTCAGGGCTGCTCATAACTATTAGCAAAGGGATTCACTTGGGCAGGCACTAGGATTAGACATTTGCGTAAGCTTGAAGACTGCTTTTTAGAAGGACCTGCTAGGATGCCTGCAATTGTACACATGTCAGCAGGTATGGCACAGCTATAGAAAAGGGATTTTCAGACAGTCAGCTAATCTGACTAAAGTAAGAGCTCCTTTAATTGGCTGTGGGAAGTAATATTAACGCATTACCATGATGCATGAAGCCGTTATTGCAGAGTCCAACACCCAGTGCGACAGCTTCCTCCCGAGTCTGACAATCTCCCTAGAAACAAGAGGATAAATATTACATCTCAGATTACTTCCTAAGATAAATTATTCCCCTTCCCCACCGCATAGCTTGTAGCTCTGAAATTAGCAGGATGCTCTTTGTAGGGAACAACAGCAAGAAATTAAAATAGCTACCCCGTTGCCCAAATCTCATTCATTCCTATATATAGCATCTCTTGCCTCCCACAGGAACTAGGATGACAAAGACCAGGATTCTGGAAAGCAGTTGTTTAACCCACAAAGGGACATAATATTATCTCAATGTAAAGCCTTTTTATTTGCAATCATAGTGTCAGACTTTAGCCACAGACAATAAAACTTATTCTTAGAGAGAGAAGTTGAGAGATCTTATCTGTATTCAACCAAAGGGAGGAAAACCTGGGTAAACCCAGTACAAGTGAACTCCAAAGGTCAGACTGGTTCAAACTGCAGTGGCATTCTTTTCTTACACAGCAGGCCTATGAACAAAGGCTCCAGCTTCTCACTACCTGAAGCCTTGAGTGTAGTATTTCAAGAGATACCAAAGGTGACTTGCAAATTTACAAACGTACCTGAAATGGCAGCATTAAGTTTTGCATCTACAGTTCAGTTAAATACAAGAAATACCTAGTTTTTTCTATGCATCCGCTAATTTGCAGCCACAAGTGAAGAATATACAAACATGCTGGTTGTACTCTTTAGGCAGACATCTCAGTTCCAAACAGTAATAGTAAAAATCAGCAGGCACTCTTGATCTTACACAGATGAAAACCATTGTTAACCCTGGTCACCTGATGCAAGATTACCTGCTTTCCGCTCCCCAGATGGGCACAAGAGAACCTGGGATCTGCTGTCTCACTGAGAGCAGTCAGTTCATTCCGGCAGCTAGGGCACCTGCTGCTTTGGCAGAGGAGCAATTTCAGCATATTACTTGCAGTCCTACTAAATCAGACACTGTATCCCACAGAAGTATTATACATTATTTTTTCCCCTCCATCTGGAGAACTAGATATCCTGAAGGTCTAACACCAACTGCAGAGTGGCGTGCTGACTTTGTTTTAAGCAAACCAGCTTGCAGACCAAGAGCCCTCTCTGATCCTGTCAGCAGAACATGAGCGTGAGCTTCAAGTCCTACTAAGGAGAGCAGTAGCTGCTTGCCAGGCAGCTACTGGAAAAGAACACGGCTGTGGTGTAGATACTATTTAAATACAGGATAAACCAGGATCAGCTCTTGCCAATCAGCAGCACTACTGGCTCTTGTTAAAGAGACTTTCTGAGAGCAAGAAAAAGCCATGACATTTACAAATGGAGAACTAAAAACTGTTGTCTTGGTAGGAAAAAGACCAAGGCCGTTCTGGAGGAATGGCATGATTATGTAATCACACAAGGAGAGCCAAGAAAAGAGCTTTAATAAAACTGAAGTTTAACTTTTACTATAAACGAATTTCAAGCCTTCCTTCATTTTCAACATCCTGTCACGCGACAATTCTCAACACTCACTTTGTGTTACTTGATGGTATACATGGGTGGTTTATATTACAGAAGCTGGGACTTAAAAATCTAATTTATTCAACTTTCAACTGTACATAAACTGGAGGACAAATGCCTCCTAATGTTACTCTCTTAATCTTTAGGAATCTACTTTCATTTTAGGCAAAAAATCTTTGTGTAGGAAGACTCTAAACCAGACCTGGCTACTCCTGAGGATGTTAACTTGGCCTCAAAACATTCCCATAGCAAAACAGCATTCCCAAATTATAAAATGTACCTTCAAATAGATCATTTCAGATCACCTGTAAGTACTTCTAAATGTCATGTAGTGATTTGTCTGAATACAATGAAAGCAGTAACAAAAATCTTAAGAAAAAAGAACCACTTACAGTCAACAATCTTGACAGAATGTGCACCTCATAACTTTTTCATACAGGAATTGGATGTGAAACTAGATACACTAGTTTTGACAAGATCATTGAGGTTTATTCAAATACAATCACTGAATTTGAGTCAGCAGAATTGTAAAAACAGTTTACAGTCAGCACCATAGTGAAGGATCATGTCCAGAGCACCCTACTATTATTACTATGACTACTGCTACCATTACTAATATTATTATCGTTGTCTACTGGTGGTAATGATGTGATGTCTAAAGCCCTAATCATGGTCCATGGCTGATTGTTTTGATATGCACAAGCCCAGCAATTAGGATGGTCTCTGACCTAGATTGTTTACAACCCACATGTAGGAGAAAAGAAAGAAGAAGAACACAGAGAAGTTAAGAACAGCAAGCAAACCACTTTTAAATATTTTGTTGATATCTTGGAAAAGGATCCTGGGGATAACTGCAATAGGATCCAGCTATTGTGAAGAGCTATAAACAATAAAAAGACATCAGGCAAACTCAGCATTAAATCTCAATGTCATCAGCAAATCCATTGACCATCCACTCTCACACGCAAAAACTCCCTCGTACTGAATAATCTGTGCTAGCATATCACAGGGCACTTCTTAATAAACCTGACAGTCAGAGACGCTCAGCTCCTGCAGACCCCTGATATCTACAGAGCCACAAATGCACTGCACATCCAATAACAGAGCTTGCAATGCCCATCCAGTCCCAGGCTCTGAGTGCATACAATACATAGGGGATAACAACATATATCACACTTGAATACAACTGTTCCAATGTACACAAGACTCACCCTCACTGAGGACCCAACTTATCAGACGTAAAACAGCCAACAATTTCTGGGTAGGAGGATCAGGGTACAAAATACAGTTGACGCAGTTCCTTTGATTATAAAAAAACCTCTTTTGCTCTGTTCAGTCTTACGAATATTTGTAAAGGTCAAGGAAATGAAAAATAATCTTTCTCATTAGGGAGGGCTCCCACTGGCAGTTTTAGTCTAAATTACAAACTAAAATGAAAAGCTATTCTTCAAGACAGTCAGCTCTATGCCACTAAAATATAAGAGAAACAACAGTCCTAACTTTTGTTGTGCACCATTTCTAAACTAAAATCATGATGCAAACTGATTGTCAAAAATAAACCTATCCCAGCATTTTTGTGTAACAGGGAGTTATCAGGTTGGACACCATCACCAAGACTTTCAAGAACACATGCCTGAAGTTCAGATGAAGGGTAGATATTTGAGCAGTTAAATAAATGCACTACTCTGCAAAAAGCTGAGTATTTATTAGCTCACACTAAAATCTGTTGTTAGCTAATAAGGTCAAAGTATGAATGGTTGCTAGAAAATAGTTCAACCTAGTATGAAAACTCCAAGTGAACATCTATGAAAATTACTATTTGTAAGGATCTATGATCAAAGATTGATTTAGCCACATAGACAGGAATCCATTTAAGTCACAGTCAGTGATTTAAGTGTTTAACAATGTTCCCCTTTAACTGAGCACAGAAGAAATTTCCTTCATTTTTGCATCTGTACACATGTACCTATGCACACACACATATCTTCTGTATCTTCATATCTGGCTTTAGTACATCTGGTTCAATCTTAATGTAAAGTTCAGTAAACAGCAGAACCAACAGCCAGCCTAACCTGCTAGAATGAAGAAAAATGAGGAAGGAAATGAGCTACCTCTTCCAGACCGAGAGCTGATGTTTTACCTTGCTATCTGAGTCTTTCTACTGCCTACAGCTCTACGATTAACTACTATAAAGGCCAGATTAGCCTGATTACATCTCTCTTTGTTGGCCAAAGCAGCCTTTTTTCCCCCTCAGCCTTCCATGAATAAGACCCCATTAAATCATATGTAACTGATATGACAACCTCAGTACTAATAACCGTGCTCTCCCCTATGCTCTGAACAGGAAAACAAGTGACTACTCCATCCTCATCCAGTTATTTGGCAAACAACCTTAAATCATATCAATCTTCTTAATGCAGGAGGATGTCAAATGCAATTGCAGGAAACATTTCTGAAGGACAACATCCCTGTTTGTCAGAGGCCTGATTCTCATTCAAACTAGTGTTTCTTTATGTTATTTTGGTTGGACAGGACTTAATGTGATTGTGAACCAGACCATCATTTAAGACAAAACCAGAATGTGCATTTGACTCCATGATGGTAAGCAACACAGCACACTCTCCCTTTAGGTTGCTTTAGAATATCAAAGCTAAATTTTTAATTTCTCAAGCTAACAGGCTCTTCTCTATAATTACAAGGTAAATGTGGGGTAACTGCAATTTCTAAAAACAATGGTGTAGTTGGTGGTGTAAAACTCTAGATTCATTTTTTAATAAAATTGTACCACACCTAGACAAGACTAAATGAGATCAACATTGCTTTAAATATCTCTAGAAAATCAGAAGAAATAGAAAAGATCCTGGAGAACAGCCAGTTCACCACTCCTAGGGCTAACAAAGGACTTTCTTCCTCTTTATGCTGCCAAATAATAAGTTTTCATCAAATGAACAATATCAGAAAGCATAAGATTTTAAGTTCAAAGAATCAGAATATGTTTAGTTATGTTCTCTAGATAAATGTGGTTTATTTACTTTTAAGTGGAACTGAAAAATTAAGCTACTTGTCAAAGACAGCAGTATCTTAAAATGTTCTTACCTGTGCAATAAGCCAATCCACTAGTTTACTTGCAGGAATCACTGATTTGTAGGTCTTGAGGTGGTAGTCACGGTCCCTAATTAAGAAAGAGAATTCAGGGAAAATCAGGACAGAAAGGTAAATATTTCTTTTACACTCTAAACCTACATCTACTATTGTGACCTACTATTATGAAGCTGAGGAAGGAAGAATTACAGGTAGAAAAATAATTTAGACTCCCAGCCACAAATAAATAAGAAAGAATAGGAAGCAGGTATCTTTTTTTTCTCTAGAAGAAAGGACTAGTTTTTAAACTTTTCTAATGACTTGAATTAAGAAGATATTTCAGATAAATACAGAGCAGTGTTATTTCAGAATTCTCTAGATGTCATTTCAAGCCATCTTCAGAGAGCTCACATTCCTGCCAGAAACAACCAGGACATTATTTTCACAGACGCACTGAGCTGCTTCTTTAACTCAGGTTAGAATACTGCCACCATTGTTCCTGTTGAAATTCGCATTCTTCTGGCTGGAAGTCATCTTCTAGTTTCCATCCTAAATCCATTCACGTCCAGTTTACATTTATTGTCTCAGTGCCAGCCCCATCTATAAGCTTAAATAGTTCTTCTCTAGTGTTTACTCATCAACATATTCATATACAGTGACTCTACATATTCCTTCTCTGCCCCTTTTTTTTGTCTCACTGATTTAAGCACCTTTCAGCCTACTCTGTCAAGAGAGGTTTTTCTGACTCTCCACACCTCTTCAGATTTTACTTCCTTTAGCGAAATATGACAGAGTAGCCAGATACAAATAGAGTAAACAGTGCTCTTTTATGGCGTTAGATATTTACAAGTCAGCCATTGTAAATAAAAAAGGAAGTGTTGTATTTCTGTCTTGTAACACAACTTGCACCATCTCACACACAATCCTTGTAGAGAGCAGGACTGTCCCTGAAATACAGAAAAGAAACCCTCTTGTAACTTGCTGCATTTAGCAGTTTTCTTCCATTCCTGTTCTCAGAGCCATGGAGATAATTGATGTTTTTAGTCTTTCATAAAACACTTCTAAAGAATTTTGATACAAATATAAGAGGACTATGTGGCTCAGGACATTGGGCTCTAACACTTTTCACCTCCAGGTCACTGGATTTAATCCAGCTCATGAGTGAATGAAAAGCTCTCTCCATTTTAAGGCGGTTTACTGGCCCGTGTGAAATAAGTTTGGTGGTCTTGATCCAGTTCCTAGTTCCACATCACAAAAGGCATTACCACAATTAATTTGCATTAATTGGCTCCCTCTTGTTGAGAATCTCAGTAGAGAGGACAAATGCTGAATGGCTACGAAGAATTAATTCCTCTCTCACCCTTGGAGGTGGTCCTTCTGTTTCAAGCTTGAGGTCCACTGGCATGACTGTGGAAGGAAACTTTCACAGCCACTGTGACTGTTTTACAGTCCGGATGTATCTATATGGCAGCTCAAGAGAAGACTTTATTCTTCAGTTCTGTCAAATCAATCTCTTTCATTAGCATCACACCATTTGATATTTCCTTTTTTCTAAAAATCTAAAATCAAACCACCATCTAAAATTCATCCTACTCATGTTTTCCTTTTACTAATCATCTACAGACACAAATAAGTTGTGACTGGCTTCTGTAAATAAATACAGCAGAAATGCCTGTGTGTTTGCAGAATGTTGAGAAATTAGAAAGGGAAGCAGGACATTCAGAACTTGGGGGGAAAAAACCAAAAACCGAAAAATGACAGCATTTCCAGAAATATGTGTCCTCAGAACAAAAGCTTTCCTCATAGTGCTTACACACATTTTTTCAACTTGTCTTCCAGTAATGTGCTAAACCCAGCACAAAACTGTGGGAGTTTTCTGGGCAATTTTTCCCTCTCACACTCTTATCTTGAGAAAATGTGCTTTTGAAATGTCAGAACAATAAAGCAAAGCATTAAAATACTGAGTACTAATGAGTAGGGGTTTCCAGATTGTAAGAAGCAACTCCCAATATTTTAATACAGATGCTGACATAAAGCTAGAGTTCTGAATAAGCTGGCATCAGGATCTCGGTCCAAGGCCCAGTCTTTCACTGCTTGTAGTCAGGACGCCTGTCAGGATGAGTATTTCAACATCAGTTCACTGACTTTTTCCCCCATGTCAATCTAGCCTGAACAATATAGAGCACAAATCATACAGAATGTTACCCAGAACCATGACCTGCAGGTGAATAGTCAAATATAGGTGTGGGAATGATTGAAATTTTGGGACAACCTTGCTGCCTCACAGAAATTAGAGGAATATCATGTTCTTCACAGGGTCTAGCCCATCTACACACTCAAGTATTGCCCATGATGTGTAAGTGGGAGCAAGTTCTCCCACCTTCACAACTTCCCCGAACTAGATCAGAGACATATTCAGAACCTTCTCTACATCTAAGATTTTTCAAAATGTTTTACTTTTTATGTATCATCCCCCAAAGTAGCACGCTTCCTTTCCAGTGGGGTGTATACCGAGACAAGTTCTGAAGATTCCACCCAAAATTTTCAGGTGTTTTTCAAATTACAGCTTCAGGTTTTATTCTACTTCAGATGGGTTTTTGTTTGTTTAGGGTGCTTTGAAAGAAAGAAACCTAGCATCACATTGGAATCTGTTTACATCACTTTAGCATCTGTTTACATTTTCTATAACCCAAATGATACAGCGGCTAAAATCACACCACACAATCTGCCCTGAATCAGTAGTCACGTATTAATCACACCCACTTTAACTCACAGAAAATAAATGCCAGAGTAAACAAATAAACTTGTGTCATCCTAACAGCTCTCATGAACAGACAGAGGAAGCTAATGTCAGGCAGACTATAACACCAGCCTTTCGCTCTCCCAGAACCCAGTTCCAGCATCCTCCAGCAGAAGTACAACTACAGAGCTAAACTACAGAGATAAAGGGTAGTAAAAAAGCCAATAAAATGCAGAAAATTACTGTTTATAATAAGAAAGAAGAAAGATTTCAATACTAACATGTCATCCTTTTAACAAAGCCAGATAATATAACAAGGGGATTATGAAGATGAACTTACTTTACCACTGGAGTATACAGGCAGTGTAGTCGGCAGTACAGCCTCACACCCTGAAGAAAGAAAGATGCATGGTATTATCAGTTTCTTCCTTTTCAAAGAAACACTGACTAGCTAAAGCCATCAAAACCTGGACACTGATGTCTCTACTCAGCTGGAATTATCTGTTGATTAACTGTTTTTCAAAACAGTTCCCTTATCTTCCCTGTCAAACATTCTTTTTTCTTTCCCTGACTCCAGAAGCCAAAAAATCTGTTCTTTTATCTCTAATCAGCTCCATTCCAACATTTTCTCCACTAATCCTTCCTCACAATTAACCCATAAACTGATGGCCATAAGAAGAAATCCAATTTATTAAAAGGTATATGGGCAGATATGGGATCAACAGAACTCATTTGCCATACAATTGCCCGGAACAGCAGTTAAATATTGATCTCTTCTATCTCCCTAAACCATAATGCCCAGATTTTCAGCGGACATGCTGTATCATGGACTACTGTTTTCTTTTAAGACCTTTTGTTACTATATTAGGATTGTAATCAGCAGTCCTGGGTGCAGTCACAACCGTATTGTTATTTACTGCTAAGCTCTGCTTCCTCTCCCTAGAATTAATGTCTCCTGTGGCATTAGGATGGATAGCTTAACACAGCAAAGATAAGCAGCATTAGGGATCTCCTATACAACAGGTCAATGACTTCAGAGGTAGTGCAAACTCTTTAGATGCAAATCACAAGGTTCCTAATGAGAATGATAATACAAACCTTGGACACGATGTCTTCCAATTCACTTCTTGGCTTGTATGTTCCATCATCATAGCGAAATCTGTACATCACCTGCTCATTCTTAAACTGGTGCTTATCTGAAACTAAAACACCAGTATGATAATTAAAATTAGCCTTATCTCCCCTGCTATGTTCTTCATAGGCCAGTTGGCACGTCTACACCTAAATATTTGCTGGTATCTATCATTTTCTGAAGAGTGGACTCAGCTCTTCTATTTTCCCCTTATTGTGTATATATATATGCTTACATGGACTTCTGAACAGCTCCACCAACAGAACCAGTTTTCTAAAATACTGCAGGTCCAATACAATTGCAATTTCCTCCTTTTGGGCCAGATTCAATTTATGTAAGGCTTTGAAAACAGTTCTAGAGAAGGCAATTGGGACCGTCTGACTTTTCAAGTTTTGAACAAAGCATGTGCAAATTCCCACAGGAGTTATCACAGCGCTAAAGTCATTTTTGCAGTTGCCCAAAGTTCTGCAACTCCAAAAGCAGAAGCATGCTGGTGGGAGGAACTACAGCTGTTAGAGGTATTCTTCTACCACGGTTCTTGTATTTACTAGTGAGTTCCTTCTGAAAATTAAATAGTATTTTTGAGAAACTGCTTTTTCACCCAGGATAGCCATTCCACAGTGGGGCAGTTAAAGTCTTACTGGGCAACACTACGTACTGATAGGCTTTAAAGACAAGGACACAAAAGATGATTCAGTATGATAAGGAACCATTTTAAAAGAAGCATTGGCCAAAATGCCAAACAGATTTATCCAGTACCCCAGACTCAAGAGCGTTGAAATCTACATCCAATTACATGTAGGTTTATCCCATCTCTATTCTAAGGCAAACTATTTCAACAGAATACAGAGGTGTGAAACCCTCACACTGAAGATAGTAATTTAGTAACCAGTAGACATTATTTGTTTCACTGATTAGTAAATAAGTGGTAATTATTAGTAAAAAGTGACGATGACTGTTCAAAATCTAAATAAGCAATACAGTATCTTCCAGACTTTACAGGATGTAGTACAGAAATGCCATTGTTCACAGCTTAATCTCATGGAGACCAGTTACAACTATGTAGAGGAGGAAATCTAGAGAAGAGCAACCTAAACAGAAAGCAGATACAGTGGGGTAGCTTAGTCACTGTCATCTGTCCTGCCTTTGCTTATGTAACAAAACCATGGCCAGATCTTTGTGCTGGAGCACCCTTGAATATTTTGGATGCAGTATTTCCTAGTGTAGGCACAGCATTTGATGAACTGAGAGAAAATATGGATTTACACTATTTAACATGCATCTTAGCCTGAGTTTGATTAACCTGAGAAAACTGATTGCACTGGATGACTAAAGACAATGAAACTGGGTTAGGCAGACTCAGAAGTACCAGGACTCAGTTACAGAGTGGACAGGATACCTATTTAGAAGGCACAGACCAAAAATTCTTAAGACCTTCCCTCACTACATAGGACATCCTAGTCTTTAATTAAGATTCCTGCTTTTGGTGATATTTTTCCCTAATTTCACAGAATAAAACAAAACTTGCAGGATCTGGTGTATATCCTTTTGTATACACTGGAATCTGTAAGCTACGTAAACTATTGACTTATTTGTGTGTCTGCATGCTCTGGATTTTGTATTTTTAAATCCAAGTGAGAATGGAGTCTGCAGAAAGTGTCTTTTGTGTCTGGCACACAGCAGGTCAGGTGTGTGCTCTCTGTGACAGGTACCAGAACTTCCACATCAGAAGACCCAGATAAAATAGCCAGAATTAAAGGAGATAGAGAGGAAACTGAGTGATAAAACACACAGAGCTCAGCACTTAGCACAGAGCTCAGCATTTAGCAATCTTCGATGGCCCTGCTTCTCAGGTAGGCTGAGAAATCAGCAGTTTTCACCTGACAGTAATGTTATGCCAAGTGAAAACAAAAGATAAAAGATATTGCCTAATGTAGAAGAGGGCTAAGGGCTTCATTATGGTGCATACATAAGTTCTTGTTACAGTAGATGACACATAATGGAGTACTTTCATATTTAATGATTTATCAAAATCTAAAGGGATACTTCCTTAAGAAAATGCAGCGTTGCACATACCTTCCAATGTCTAGCAGTAACTGTCATTGGAAACACTCAGGAACTGTAACTAAAGGTAACATTAATACTGAACCAGATGCATCTTACTCAGGGTATCTGACTAAGGGGAGCAGTAGATAAAACAGCACAACTTTCTTTGAGCTGTAAATTTGTGTCTAGAGAAAAAGGACACTGCTGAAAGTGTCAAAGTATGAAGTTGTGGAAAGGTAAACAGTCATCATGAAATAACAAGTCTCAGGAGAGCTTTTTGCACCAACAGTGCAAGTGTACACATTCAGAATGTAGGCAAGCAAGGCATGTGAGCGCAAAAGTGTTCTTCATCCCTACACATCGGAGCCAGTGTTTCAGTTCTCCAAAGCCACAGGGATAAGTACTCACTGAAAACTGTTCAGCACTTTTGAGCTCATGCTCAAGGCCCTTCAAAGTCTGAATGTGCCTGGAAGTATGTATTGATACCTGGGGGTGGAGTGTATGTGCATGAAGGATTAATTAAAAGATAACAGACATCATTTCTTAACAGTGTTATTGTCACCTGAAAGACAAGTTTGTGGAGCTGAGTTACCAAGAGATTACAGCAAGAGTAGCATAATTAAATGGCTCCCCTATTTAAATTGGTTTCCAAGAGATTGTATGGAAATGTAGACCACTGGTGACTTAAGACCTATATACCGTATTCCTTTGATGTGCATTTTGCAGCTAAGCTCACCTGAATATTGAAATTGGGGCATTTACTGTTTAACTAGAACAGGACTATGTTGCTCTGTCTGTATAATGTAATATAAAAACAATCGGAAAGAGCAGGACAAATCTGTATTTAAAGGATGTAATCTGGAGAAAGACTTTATTTTGTCAGAAATGCAGATAGCACAGGAAATTTTTAAACGAGCATCTTGTCCTGCTTTGATCATGGAGCACTTTTGTATGCACTAGACTACTCTTTTAAAATACCCCTCATCATAACACTTCAAGGTCATTTGCTGGATGTGATGAAGAAATATGGTACATTGCTATTTTAAAGGGAGACGTTCTTGCCAAATGAGATGGAAAGAACAAATCCCACAACAAACTGCATCATCTCTTCCTTTTACGACAAGCAGACTCATCAGAAAGAATGACCCATTGTCTAGAGCCCTTCACTCTGTTTGTACCTGTGCCCCATTCTAAAACAGCACTGCTCGACTGTCCTCTGTATTGCTGATGTCTCATATGTAAACTATATTTATTTATGGATATTTATCACTACAGATTTTCAAATTACATAGTACAAAGGAATATACACCTGATATAGTCCGCAACAACGATGTTGCGGAGAAATCAAGCAACTGCAGGCATAAACACTTTCAGGATACCCAACAAGTCCTGTTTTCATTACATAAATTTGCCCACTCATTAATCCCAAAAGTCATTAAATGTTTTGAGAATCTGACAGGTATGGTACAGGAAAGTATGTGAACATCATGTGAACAATTGCAGTCAGTTTTCCACCCTCATTTCCAGGGCATTACTGAAATCTGACATCTCTTTACGGCATGGAGCACTCACCATGATGAATGATTCCATTTTCCAATAGTGCCTGTCCCAGGTTGACCCCTTCCTCTGGTTTGCTTATCTCTCCAATCTCTGTGAGCCATGATACAAATTCACTGCCAAGGGAAGCAGAACAGAAACAATTAGCTTCTTCGCTCTGAATATAAGCAGTCACATGCGTCTGCAAGTCATCAGCAGAGACTTTCTCCTTGAAGCAAGTGCGAAAACTGTTGTAAGCGATGATGCCTCTACTACATGGTTCAATTTCCTACATTTCTGGAGAAAATGCTCTGCAGAAGACCCAGATCTCCTATCAGCGACTTTTCCCACCATTCCCCTTAGCTCATAGTAATTAGCATGCATGCAAAAGGAAAGAAGACCTGGGTGCATCTATAAAGATGCTACAAATCCTTATTTTATTGAGCAATCCAGAGATCCAAAGGGGAAAAGGCAAGATTAACTAATGGCCTTAAAAACACATTGGACAGCACAGAAAACAGATAGTTCTATCCACGCTATCCCTCCAAGCCGTGTTTGTGGTCTTAGTTACATATGCTCACCTTTCTTCACTGGGTCTGATATCTGCCCAACTTCCTCCCCACCCCCCCAGTGGTATAACTGCATTGGCTTTAATGGAATTGCAGCAGGACTTAGGACTTAAGATTCAACCTACTGAATTCAAGCGCAGAGCAGTCATTTACTGGAGTTGGTGCCTGGCAGATACGTAAGTGATGCTTCTAACTTATAGACAAAAGCTGCTAAGTCTGTCTGCTCGTGCAGGACAAAACCTCTCCCTGGTGAGGGGTAGAGCTACACACATGGGCAGAATAAAAGCAAAAAAATGGATAGATATGCAGGATGTTACTCAATTAGAAACAGTAAGTACAGAAAATGGACATTGCAAGCCTGATGATGCCAAAGCCCCAGGAGGCCAAGCTGTTTGCCAGGTTAATTAGTGATTATACTGGAAATGTATTAAATTCATAGAGAAGAACAAAAGGAATATATGAAAGTAGGGCGACATATGGGAAATCTGAGTTCAATAAACCACTTGGGTGCTTGCCAGTGTGCAGAGGGTTGCTGCTTATCAAAACCAGTATTCATGCCTCCACTTGTGGGCTCTAAAGGAAGTATTTTTAGTCTCTTCATGTTTATCAGAGCTGACTCATCTAAGTTGTAGGTAGCATTTGCATTTTGCCTTTAGAATAACAGCAACAACTTCAGCACTGGAAACTTCGTTTTGCTGAGGGGCTACTCTGTACCTGTCA